CCGTCCCCTCAATTGCCTGCTCAGTCCCATGCACCTCGTGAAGGATTGCAAGAGGGTTAGCAGGCACACTCCCTCCTGAAGAGCAATTGAAGGTTGTGTCACTTCAGTACAAGTCATAGACTCCACAAATCTGTCAAAAGTGAAATGTGAGGATTCTTGGCAGAAACCCTAGACGCTCCATGGTTGCAGAGAGGGGAGGTCGGCGTGCACTGCGTGGACAGCAGTGGTCAAAATTAGATGGTTTGAAGCAGCTACTGATGTGACTGGAGGACTGAATAGCTTCTCTTTAAGAAAAAAAAATGTAGTAATAAAGTGGAATTGGAAAGGATCTTGGGTTTGGGGAAGAGAAAAGCAACCAGCTTCACTGGAAACAATTTATACAAGGTTGAAGAAGATGGTTAGACATGATTTACTGGTTGACCAGATGTTTTAAATGTAAAACCATACATTTTGTGTTTCACTTGATAATTATTGACTAACTGTATCAGGGACCTCACATTTTCAAAACTGTATTTTAGAAGGGTGAATGTGACCAGATTACATAGAACTGTTCCGTGATGAGAGCTCGTAGTCCTAAGTAGCATTTGCTCCTCCATCCTGTGGAAGTCGTTTCTCAGGATCAGTCCTGTTACTGTGGTTAACAAACAGACTGCGTTTCTGTTGCATGTTGTTCACAAACTCTAGACCTTGGCACACTCAACATCTGGAGCCAAATAATTTTTTTTATTGTGTAGGGGGGCTCTTCTGCACGTTGTAGAATTTAAGTAGCCTCCCTAGCCTCTACCTACAAGAAGCCAGTGCCTCTCCCCTCAGTCGTAACAAACAAACAAGTGATCTCCAGGCATTGCCACGCGTCCCCTGGGAATACAGAATCCCTCCCATTTCAGAACCACTTCCTTCGAGCAATTAAAATAATTTATTGCGTATCTTATGACGTAAATAAATTACACTGAAAAAGACCTGTACAGTGTAGGGCAGTATATTTAAACACTGGGCGGGTTTACAGGCATTCTGTGTCATGGGCTTCTCTGTAAAGTTTGAGCGCCAGGCGATTCTGGACAAGAGGCGGAGGCGGTGAGGAGCGGTTGTTTCCTGGGTTTGAGGTGAGCTCTGCAGTGTACCATCCTTCCTCGCACTCCCAGTTATCCGATATTTACCCCCATAACTCGTAGTCATTATTTGCTTGGTCCCTGGAAATATCTGGGTGTCCCAACCTTAAGTGGTGGTTATAAAAACACTTGAATTTATCACTAAGTTTATTTAACAGGTGTTTTCTGAGCTGCTACAATGTGCAAAGAATACTTTAGTAAATGTCACAAAGTCTGTGCTCATGGACCTTACATCCCAGTGGGACACTGAATGAAAATGTTTACTACTGTACTATTTAAAACATAAATGTAATGTAGAATTGTCACCTGAGCAAGTGCTATTGCGAGTGTGTCTTCCTAGATTAAGTAAAAAATAATTGATAACCTACATTCCAAATGATGATCTGTGGGATTAGCTGGCTCAACCTTTTTTTTTAAATTTCTCTGAAATTTGACCTTTTTCTTCATTGAGCCTGAAGCAATAGCCTAGGAGGAAATGAGTTCAAACAGCTGATCATGCTAAACTTGAAAGCCTAAAACACTTGCTAAAATATTCTTTGATTATTGTTTGGTTGTTTTTTTGTTTGTTTGTTTTGTTTTGTTCTTTGTAGTTTGAGGCAATATATGATCACGGTCCTCGAATGTGCAGTTGTCTGCTTGTAGTGTTATTTCTCTCCTGTTCTTTTCTCTCATGGAAGAGAGATTTAGGGCTACCCTTTTTTGGGGGCAAAACTATATGTTTTATTTATTTAATGTTACCTTTTCTTACGATTCCTCGGAGAAAAAGGACATGTTTTCTTCTTGCTTGAAGTGTGAGTGAAATGGCTGTCGCTTTTTTCCTCTCTGTCTTGTTGAACGCATTTTACCTGGACAACAGCCCCATACAAAAATAGAGATTTGGCAGATTTATCCTACAGAGATGCACTCAGGTGTCCCCATCTGGGCTGTTCCGGTCAGGCGGTTTTCACAGAGGATTACTGAAAGAAAATGTTGGCCGTCATTAATAGCATTTTGAAACATATCTTCAGATGCTACCGACTAGTGGTTACTGGAAATCAGGAAAGCATGCAATTGAAACAGAACTTTCAATATGTTGTGTATACCCGATGCTAACAGGTTCAATTAATAAGGAGAGGTGCAGTATGTGTTGCTGCCGTTAGCATTTTAAAAGTATACCCATGTTTGTAAACAACACCTGTTTTGTATAAGGTATTTGTTCTCTAGGTTGACTTGGAATGGTGGCTATCACAAAGCACTGACTTTTTCATGCCCTGTCGCCTGTAGTTGTGAAAGTGTAACTGTGTGCATGTGATACTGTGTTTTCCAAATTTACATTTTCAGCAGTGACAGAAAGCAAGAATTGCATTATTATTTTGAGACCTTTTTAGCCTCATTGCAGTGAACAGTTTTTATGTGGGAACAAATGCTTGTTGGGTGTTTCCTGAATGAAGTGACAGAGACTTAACTTGTAAGTTGCTGAGCATCTGTCCATGAAAAAACCCAGATCTTGTGGAGTGGTTGGTTCTTCTCCATCGTGCGACACTTCTGCAAATGAACAAAGTTGCAAGGTGTTTCAAAGAGTGCCATTTATTCATTTCAAGTGCTCTTGAGAAGGAATTAGATCTAAGCATATTTATTAAATGACGACTAAATTTTTTTGTGGCTGGGAGCCAACGTCTTGACACACATAAGGATAGCTCTGAGGTTAAGGCATTGGGTGTACCTTTAGGAAACGAGACTGACTCTAGGGAATGCATACAATATGTAAGGTAGACAGGTTTCAAGATTATTTCCTTGCTATTCAAAAAATTTAGAATTGTTGTATGGGTGAAAAATTGTACACTTGTTTTAGAGCATGCTTGGGAGAAGTGAATACAGATAAACTTGGGACAAGCTCATAGAGGTCTTGGGAAAGAATCATTGAAGAGCTCAGGGTTTTAAAATTAAAATAACGAAAGACAAATTGTTCATATGCAACAGTAAAGAATATGACATCTAGAATATTTTCGTAAGAAATAGATCAGTTCTTAATGTAACGTGCATGAAACAAGAAAGTGACATCATAGACTGTTTTCCATCAAATTCTACAGCAGTTTTCTTCCCCAGCCTTACTGAGATACAGTTGACACAACACGCATTGTATAATTTTAATTGCACATTGTGTAAAGTTTAAGGTGTACAGTGTGATGATTTGATACATATATGTATTTTGGGAAATGCTCTCCACAATAAGGTAGTTCTTTTTAAAGCTCAGTGTAGCATCTGGATCTCCAGGAGAGCTTGCTGGAAGAGATTCTTGGGTCCCGATTGCAGAGCTATGACTCTGTAGGTCTGGGGGCCACTCACAGGCTTGCGTTTCTTATAAACAACAACGTGATGCTTATATTATTGGTCACTGATCACACTGTGAGAGCAGGGCCGTGACAGATGGACACTTGATACACAGGCAGTGGTTTGTTTTCATATGTGCATTTTTGACTGAAAAAAATAGCAATGGATATTTGAAAATTAAATTTCACCATAGAGTTTTCCAGTTTATCTTTTAAACTATATCTTTATTTTAAAACAGGGAGGGTACTAGAAAGTAGAGTGAAAGAATAGCACAGGTGTATATCCTGAATTCTACATTATACATGTCAGAAATTTAATTGAGAATTTTGATCTCAATTGGAAAATTAATCAATAATGAAATAAGAGTCATACAGATAAAATAATCATGAGCCTCTGGGAGCCCAGGGTATGCCAGTATTTAGACAACCAACATTTAACGATACATGATGATTAGCTTTTAATCATTAATAATTTTAAAGTTAAAAATTGTGTTGAAATGTAATTTTGAGAATATGATGTCCATTCATATGAATGTAACAATTTCCATCCTGAGGCCTCTTCCTACAATGTATTATACACATAGTATATATAGTGCTCTGTGCTACTATGTTTTGCGTGATAATTATGCATTGTATATGTATTAATAAGCTGTATTTACATTGTTTATTCAATGTTATTGTTTATCATTCTGTGCTATTGTTTATTCAGTACCATTTGACATACGCACTTTCTTTATTCAGAACTTTGTTCATTCAGTTCTGTTACTGTGTATTGTCACAGTTGTGACTGAACAGTGGTTCCTGGGTATTATCTTTGATTTATTAAAATACATATAAATTATGAAGTATAAGTATAAATTATATGTAATACTAAATTTCTTATATATATAAATATGTATATTCAAACTTTATTCAGAAACTCGCATGTCAGAATCTTGTGTTCAGCTTAGTCAATATATTTTAAAAGAACTTAAATTGGGTAAATGTTGTATTCACTGACACAGCCACATAACTTAATATGTGTGAGATGTATATACATATATTGAATACTTCAGTCACTTACAGAAGAGCATACACACACACACACATATATATATATATATATTTTTCCCCCTAAACGGAGGCAGTAGGGATTGAACCCAGGACCTCGTGCCCGCCAAGCACCCACTGCCAATGTAAAAGCAAGTTATTATTGACGTTTATGAGAAAAAAAAAATTCATCTGTAACAACAGCCTTTAGAAGATACTTGTTATTGAATAAACAATATCTCCTGTCCAAGTCGCTGTGCCTGCCAGGCAGTGTCACACCTTTTCCTAGATGTCACCTCCAGCCAGGCTGTGCCGCTGTTCCTTTTCAGCCATGTTGAAACACACGTCCAGCTATCCCTGCTCCGTAGTGATGCTCTCGTGCAGAGCCCTGGGACACATGGTTAACGTGAGCCTCTGATTAGTTAGATTTCCTAAAGTCACCAAGGAAAGTAGGCATCGAACAGTAAGGATGGCGGCCAAGCGGGTCCTTTCCTTTTTGGCTGTGTTTCCTGACTGTGTTTACTAATCTGTTTCCCCCGTTCCTTTCTCCCAGTGCCTGGAGCCCTGCAAGGCGTCCTGGGACCTGCGGAAGCAGCAGTGCCAGAGCTTCTGTGAGGTAAGACGCCAGGGCTCTGGGCCGACCTGCCCCACGGGGCCCAGGGGCCGAGGGGCTCCCGTGTTCGTCTGTAGCTTGGGAAGGGCACTTGCCTTTGGGGGCGCGTGTCTGTGTGCGTGTGTGTGAATTCATGCTAAAAAAAATTATTGAGGCATCTTAAAACTGTGCCACTCATGCTCCCATTATTGATTAATTGGACAGAAAAACTACTCTGATTACTTTCAAAGAAAGTTGCGAGCGGTGCCCTCCTCCGACCTGGCGCCTTGGCTTCTGTGGTTGTTCTCTGCGCCATGTTGACATCGTCACGCCTCTTGGCAGAGGACACCTGTTACTTGTGGTGCAGTTTCTCAGACATTTTCATCTGACTTCTCACCCCTCGGGCCACCCGTGTCCTGGGCTGACGCTGGCCCACCTTTTCCTGTGTGGAAGCATGTTACGTTCCCTGTGCTGTCACGTAGATAACAGAGCGTTACTGTCTTGGGCGACCACTGTCTGAGATCATCAGTTGTGTTGCAGAGGGGAGAGCTGCTTTGCTGGACTGTCTGCTCCAGGGCAAACCAGGGACCCAGGGGGCCGCTCTGAAGCAGCCGGTAGGACGTGCACCCAGCTGACCGCGCGGTGGCCTCTCGAGGTCAGGAGGGTCGGAAAGTCCACAAGGGCTGTGAGAACAAGGGTTGGAAGAGCCCACGACGGCCGCCCAAGCAGCACCGTGGAGCGTGGTGGGGAGGGACCAGAGGACATGCCCGTGTGGCATCGGCGTGAAACGACCTTGCAGGGCTTCTTCACATGGAACTGGGGGCTGGTGGGGGACTTCCGAGGTTCTCCAGACAGATGTGGAGGTCTGGTCTAAGCTCTGTGCCATGCAGGAGGTGCATGTGTGGTCGTCACCTGGGGGTCACCTTGGAGGATGCACAGTTTCCATTCTGAGAGCACAGTGGTGGAGTGAGACAATGCTAACTTCACCAGTTTCATGGTGCATACGATATGTCTGTAGTTATGACATCTTCTGACCTTCCAGTAAGCATGGAGATTAATCAAGGCATGCAGTAAGTCCACAGAGTTGTGTGTGGAAGCCGCAGGGGACTGGGATGTTGGAAGTTGTCCAGTCCCACCCAGGTAGCAGGACCAGGTCTAAAACCCCGCCTCCGATGGGTCCCACTGTGTCCAAGTGCTGCTGTGGGTGGACTCCCCATGGACAGTTCCACGGGGTCGTAATGTTACAGGGTTATTTTAGAAAAGTGTTGAGTGTTGTTTTAGGAAAGTGGAATGGAAGCATTTCTCACCTGCTCACATGATCAATACGTGATCTTCCTCAATCTCAATTTTAATTTGCTCTGAAAGTTTCTACTCAGCGTTTTATGACTGGCTGGAATCTCGGTGATTTTTGCAGACTCTTATATACTAGCGTCTGTTGCCAGAAGCGCCTCGGGCTTGAGGATTACCATCGTTGAAGTCTTTGGAAGCGTTTTGTAATTGTGAACGTTAAAACACTTCAAATGATATATAGCACTGGCAGATACTCAAAGTTACGTAGCTAGTTGCTCTGCTGTTGACCCCTGTGGCTAAGCTAATGACTTAGTGTCAAATCAGATAGAAGAACTCTCCTGTGTCTTTTCGTATCCAGCCCTTTTCTGGATGTTGGAGATGGTACAGGGGAACGTAAATCATGGTATCCACTCTGCCGAGGGAGCTAACATATTATCCTTCAGTTTTTACAAAATACCTTTGGGCTTCTCCAGGGCTCCAGTCCAAACTTTTCTAGCAAACAGGCTTACCTGGGGTTCAGTTTAATGTATCTTTCTATTTCTTACCTCTAGCTGTACAGCAAATTATCCCCAAACTTCATGGCTGAACACAGCACACATTTCTTACCCTACACTTTCTGTGGGCTGGGAATCTGCACACAGCTTAAGCTTCTAGGTCGTAATCAAGGTGTTGGCTGGGCTGCATTCTCATCTGGGAGCTCAACTGCAGGAGAAGCTACTTCTGAGCTCCTTGCAGTTGTTGGGAAAACTGCGGTCCTGTTCTTGATGGCTGCTGGCTGGAGTCCACGCTCAGCTCCTACAGGTCGCCAGTGGTTTCTCCCCATTAGACCCTTGATCGACAGGTCACAGTAGGGCTGTTTACTTCTTTGAGGCCACCAAGAATCCGGATCTCCAGCCTGCTGAGACAGAATTTTATGTAACACTGGTATCTGAGAGCAGGTTCTTGTCTCATCGTAGGAAGAATTCAGAAACGAGACATGAAGGTCAAGAAAGCAAAGCAGGGATTTATTAAGTGACAGGCAGGACTCTCTTGGGGGGAGAGCAGGCAGAGCCAGGTGGGTAGCTGCCCCGAGTTTCTCTGGCAAGTTGGTTACATGGGTGTAAAAATGAATGTGTGGAATATTCATTGATGGGGAGGGGTTTGGGGGTCCTCTTTCCTGATCCTCATCCCAGCTCCACCTTCCTGAGGGAAGGAGAGATTTTTGGTCCTTATTTAGTCAAGATGGGGAAGTTGGATGAGGTTATCATGGGTGAAAAGTTGCATTTGGATGAGGTCATAATGAGTAAAAGGTTACATTTGGGTGGTAGAGATTCCTGCCTTGTCCTACCTTTCTTTGTTGGCCTCCAGGACACTTGTCAAACCAAAATATGTAGTTTCTCATCAGTTCGGAGGTTCTTGCTTTTCTTGGTCTGCTCAAGGACCACCCCACCTTGTTCATAAGATGTATAGTTTCCTGCCATTTGGCCCATGTCCCCCTTTCTCTGCTCATATCTAGCCACCTGCCTGCTCTGACAACACAACATAGTCTCAGGAGTGACATCTCTGCACCTTGGTTGTATTCTGTGGGTTAGAAGCAATGCACCCCCCCTCCCCACCTTGGGCAGGGAGGTGTTCACACTGGGTCAGGTCGTGACTCAAAGGGGCTCACTCTAGCCTCTGTCTACTACAGAAAGCAGATTGAAAAACAGATTCAGGCCCCTGGAGACATAGAACACAACCGATTCATCAGAAATGAAAACAAACACGAAACAGAACTGATAAATTAATGCAAAGACAAGAAGCAGGGGCCATCCCTGTGTCTTCCGTGTTCTGTGAAGTGCACTCCTGCTTTTATTTTGGATTCTGTTCTGCACACAAATGGTATGTCTGTCTGAACTAAACTTTGCTGTTGGAAAACCTTGAGGAACAAGATGTGCCCTGCTGTTTGCTTGACAAACACATTATCCTTTATATCACCGACTCTGGGTGGGTAGTTTTGTGTCTGAGCCTGAGAAGGGAGATATGATTGAAGGTCACTGGAAACCTTTCTTCCTGCAAATTCCAAATGTGAGGGCGGGCTTCTGTAATTGCCGCCCTGTCTGAAATCAGTGCAGGGGCTTCAGAACCACATCTGCTCTATTAAAATGGGACTCGTGTGTACAAACTGTGATCTGCTGTGGCAGGAAAGGTTAATTGAAACTTGAACGGTGCAGAAAACAGAGGCCAGTTCATGTGAGGAACTCTGTGGGGAGACCTCGGCCCCGTGGCCCAGTAGCTCAAGCTTCCACGCTCAGTTTTACTTGCTTTGATCATTCTTATGTCTCTGTGTGTGGTTTTGCTTCTGTTTTACTTAGCAGTTCATAAATGACTATTACGCTGAAACAGACTGAATCCTGGAAGGGTAAGCCCTGTTCCGCTGTTTTCAAGGCTAGTCATTCATGGAGACAGACCTGATACAATCCTGTCCACCCTTTTGGTTGTCACGTTATGTATTTAAGGAGGCATACAGGGTCCATCCTGTCACGAACCTAAGCTTTCCCTTTGTCAGGGTTCAGGCCCAGAAGGATCCTAGATCTTAGTCTTACAGAAACAACTAGACGGTTAGATATGTTTGGCTCAGTGCGTTTATTTGCAAGATGATCTGAGCTCTGTTTTCTAAGGCATGAATTTGCAGACCACACCCCACAGAGCAAAACAGGTCTGCCTCTTTTTTTCTGTGAGTAAAGTTTTATTGGAACACAGCCAAACCTGTATTTTTTGCATATCATCCGTAGCTGCTTTTGTGTTACAACAGCAGAATTGGGTAGTTTATGGTCCATGAAGCTGAAACTGCAGAAAGTCTTGTCCTTTACAGAAAATGTGTTCCGACTCCTGCTCTCAGAAAATGAGCAACAGTCATGATGATGACACGAAGGCTGCGTAACCTTTTAGACTGTCATTACTTCTTAGTCTGTATCACCAGCACCCATTTCTTTTATTTTTCTTATTAATTGTTTTTTATGGACGTGTATAGTTAATTTACAATGCTAGTTTCAGGTGTACAGCAAAGCGATTTAGTTATACATATGCACACATATGTATTTCTCAGATTCTTTTCCATTAAATGTTATTACAAGAAACTGAATGTAGTTTGCTGTGCTATACAGTAGGTGCATTTTAAAAATCTGTTTCATATACAGTAGCATGTAACTGTTAATCCAAAACTCCTGATTTGTCCCTCCCCCAGCGTTTCCCCTTCAGTAACCACAGTTTGCTTTCTGTGTCTGACTAGCACCCATTTGTAAACATGAAGCATTGTTCTTGGTAATTTTAGTCGTAAGATAAACTGTCCTACATGGGAAAGATTTTCAGGGGCGCGTTAGTGGTAACGGACACTGATCTCTTCAACTTCTCGCTTGATTATCCATACCGGGTTCTACTTCTGCCACTTTTTCAGGCTGGTGCCAGAGTTAACAATCTTTTTGTTTTTTTAATTTATTTTATTTTTTTACAGAGGAGGTAATTAGGTTTACTTATTTATTTTTGGAGGCAGTACCGGGGATTGAACTCAGGACCTTGTGTATATGCTAAGCGTGTGGTCTACCACGTGAGCAATACCCTCTCCTCCAACAATCTTATTTTTTAAATGAAGAAGTTAAGTATATTAGAACAGGAATCTTTCAGGAATTCTTGGATCATAAGGGATGATTTTTCATGTGTCCTTTTTTGAAACGTGTTACATTCCCTGATAGATACATACGTAGATTGTGCTTCAC